GCCGCGATAATAAAGGGACGTTTTGTGCATATGTCAGAGAAAAGGATATCTCCCGCCGTCCTCATGGAAGAACATTCCGCGCATATACACCATTTGACGTCTTCGACATGATTTTAAAGCGCATTTTGTGAGAATTCTAATAAACCACACCCGGCGCTGTGAGGAACGGGATTGAGGTGGGTAACATGGATGCGGACACACGGCTCTATGACATGCCGTCAGTGATATTAATGCAGTTATATGACTGTTTTCAAGGTCATAGCCACCGGAATGAACAAGATGTAGTATGTGTATGAATGTGTTGTCTGTGTTGACTGTAGCAACGCAACGCATCGAGCTGTGCGGATCACATTTCAACAGCGGGCCGCTGCCATTAAACCAGATCAGAAATATGGCAGAGACCAGTCTGATGTGTTTATTAAGTCTATTTTAGTTAGTTTATTAATTTTTAGCATCATTACTCCAGTCACATTATCCTTCTGAAATCATATTAATACTCTGAATTGCTGCTCAAAAAATTTTTATTATTATTATTATTATTATTATGTTGAAAACAGCTGAGTATCATTTTTTCAGGTTTCTTTGATGAATAGACAACTCAGAAGAACAGCATTTATCTGAAATAGAAATCACCTTGCTAAATGAAAGTATTAATATCTATACTTTCTCCCCCTCCCCTGACTCCAAGCTTTTGAATGGTATAATGTATAAAAGCTTTTTATTTCAGATAAATGCTGATCTTTGGATCTTTCTATTCATCAAGGAATCCTGAAAACCTGTTTTAAATATTGATAATAATAATAATAATATTAAATGATTCTTGATTCTTTCCAAAAAAAAAGAAAGAAAGAAAGAAAGAAAGAAATCATACTGACTCCAAGCTTTTGAATGGTATAATGTATAAAAGCTTTTTATTTCAGATAAATGCTGATCTTTGGATCTTTCTATTCATCAAGGAATCCTGAAAACCTGTTTTAAATATTGATAATAATAATAATAATATTAAATGATTCTTGAACAGCAAATCAGCATATTAGAATGATTTCTGAAGGATCATGTGACACTGAAGACTGGAGTAATGATGCTGAAAATTCAGCTTTGCATCACACGAATAAATCACATTTTAAAATATATTCAAAGTTATATTAAATAGTAAAAATATTTCACAATTACTGTTTTTGCTGTATTTTGGATCAAATAAATGCAGGCTTGGTGAGCAGAAGTTCTTTGAAAAACATTAAAAATCTTACTGTTCAAAAACATTTGACTGGTAGTGCATATGTCATTTCCATACCTAAAATACATATTTTACAGTAACTGTTATGCACGTTGTGTGTACACAGAGTGCGTGTGATCGCGAAATCGAAAGTGAAACTGAACGGCGCCAGCGCTCATTCTAAAACGATTTAAATGACGCGCATATTGATAGCGGCTCCCTGATGCACGAAAATTATATGCAATATTAGAATGTTTGCGGGTGTGGGCGGGAGTGTAACACACGCGTTGCAGAAGAGGATGGTAAGAAAACAAAAAAGACAAATATATGTAGCTATATTGAATATCACACCAATTTTGGGATTGGCTGTTATGGGGCCAAGGTGGACCAAGCTCGTGATTGGGTGGGCCAGGGTGGGCTAATTTTTTAATTACTCGAGTGCGCGACTTTCCTTGGAAGACAGGAGAAAGCGCGTGCTGGAGAAGCGCATGCAGATCAGAGGTGCGCAGTAAAGAAAGATACAAACAATCCCAGGTGTTTATGATATGCCTTTTAGATTACGCTTAACCTTGGCTTAATTTCAGCTATAAAACTGGATTCATATTATCATCATAATGCGATTTGACTGCTTTAATGTCTACAGTTTATTAAAAGCTTACTTCAGACATGAAATTCTACAAAATATAGCTTGTTTATGAAACAAAACACATTTCAGCATTAGAATAATTGGTAGCACTTTATTTTACAGTCCTGTTCCTCATGCACATACTATGTACTTATTATAGTAATTACAATAACTATGTAATAACAAGGTACTAACCCTGAACCTACCCCTAAACCTAACCCTACCTCATGTCGTTACCTTGTATTACCAGAACTTTCTTAGGTAGGTACACTGTAAGTACACTGTAAAGACATGTTAGTACACGTACTGTAAAATAAAGTGCAACCGAAAAATCTCTCTGTTGGTAATCACTCAGAAACATCTGCAAAGTTTTAATTAGTTTACATGGTTATGACAACTAAAAATAACCTGCAGAGAACGTTCTCTTTAGGTTACCTAAAAATAACCTGCAGGCAACGTTCCCAGAACGTTCTCTCTAGGTTATAAAAATAAAACCTAAAAATAACCTGCAGGGAACGTTCTGGGAAGGTTCTCTTTAGGTTATTAAAGGGGTCATAAGTTGTGATTTCATGTTTTCCTTTCTCTTTGGAGTGTTGCTACAAGCTGTTGGTGAATAGATAAGATCCCTAAAGTTGCAAAGACTAAAGTCTCAAACCCAAAGAAATATTCTTTATAAAAGTTAAGACTCGTCCATGCCCTCCTAAAACGCCTTTAAACGTTTAAACACGCCCCCACATGTCTACGTCACTGTGTGGGAAGATTAGCATTACACCGCCCAAATGTTCACGCAAAGAAAGAAGGCGTAACTTTTATTCTCGCTGTAGTATTGTTGCTGCCGCCGCCATGTCGTGAGACGCTGTGAAACTACTTTGTTTGGTCTTCCAAAAGAGGGCACAAATAGAAATCAGTGGTTAAGTTGTATTTACAACACTGTTCCAGAACAGTTCAACCCAAATATTCAGATGTGTGCAGCGCATTTTACGGAGGACGAGGACTGTTTCCTGGGAGAGTAGCCTACAATGCCGGTGTTCCGGTGAATTCAGTTCCCCTGTTTCCCATTCGGCGCGCATGCTGACCCTATACAGTCTATGATGCTGACAAATAATGCTGACTCATAGCCTGTAAGTACGTTTTCATATTTAAAGGATTTGCCACTGATGATTCAAACGCGAGTTTTGAGCAGTGTAGAGTAGCGCTTGTTGTTTGTCATTTCTCCGATCACAAATGCAGACATGGTTTTATGTTTATGCGGCGCGATGCAACGCAACGCGTAAAAAGACAGTATAAGTCATTATAATCAGTAATTATGTCCCCACTGGATGCAACAAATGCCTCATTTGTAATGGTTTTTATTGGTGTTGTTAACATTGATATCCATTTATATGACAGTATAATGTATACATGCATTTTATATTTTTAAGACGCACCTTTATATTGACACTCTCATGTTAGCCACATCTGTGTGCAATGTACTATAGAAAAAACTCTTAAAACAGACCACTGGAAGACTTGTTTGAAATGTACATCAAATATTTGATTACAGCTCAGTGACAATTTGACAAGTCACGTGCGACTTGAGTTTTTAAAAATGATTTGTCTGTATTATTTTAAAATAATTTTTTGGATGTTATTTGTAGATTTTAATTTGTGACAAATTTGATTAGTCAAATAATTTCCCTCTTTCACAGATCACACAGTTTACTTAAGCACACAAATTAAGCTTATAGTAACATATTTAATAGTTTATATTAAAATCTTATACAGTTGAGAAGTAGAAATAGTAATAATAAATTAGAGTAAATGCTATTTGGAAATTTTCTTCAGTAAAATGTTTACAATTATTTTCTTTTATTTGCTGTATATTTTGAATTGCAGACACATGGGTGTCCAACTTGCTTAATCAAATATTTAATTTTTACTTAGCTGTTTTGATTACTGACTGTGAAGCCACTGATTGTGCATTGTAAATGCTGTCACAGTACAACAAGCAATACTAAAACAATGTTCTTTTCTTCTCTGGGTGCAGAGGGCACCACGCAGCTCCAATGCCAGACCCAGACCCCTGTTGTTGGCGTTAGGGGACAAGCTCGGTGCAGACCACAGTCAGGATGAGCGCAGGGCAGGAGCAGACAGACATCCTGTCCACGGGCATTCTGGTGAAGGAACGATGGAAAGTAGTAAGTCTGCAGGTTTTATCTAATGCTCATCAGTGTAGTGCTTTGCTTGTTAAATGACCTGACGGCCTAGTTATTGATTTAGACAGTTCTTAAAGAGATAGTTGCTCACAAAAATAAAAATCTGGATGTTGAAAAAAAGCATTTAAATCTGGTTTCTGGAAAGTATGTGATACTACGTTTACCTACACTTACATATGTGAGTGTTTTCAGTAGCTGTGCAGATAGTGGCAGGTAATGACTCACTCCTCACTGATCTCGTAGTGCAGTGTGTGTTCCTCTGTGACCAGCTCCTTTAGGGCACTGATCAGTAATACGTTGCTTCCTCTGACGAAACATGTTGTATAAGCCCGCTGCTGAATCAACGAGAAGGGTGTTCCTGCACAACCGGAGGCTGCAGTTTCAGGACCGCAGTTCTAGGACCCTATGCTTTTGTAACAGCGCCACCTGCCGAATTGGATAATATAGCGGAGGCTGCAGTTTCAGGACCGCATTTCTAGGACCCTGGTGGTTTAGTTTGTAGTAATGTTTGTACATGTTGTTAAAGATATTGAATCTCAGGAACATTTTTTTTATTTCAATTGTGATTTTTGATATATAAATGCATCAGATGTTAATTACAAGGTGTGTAATACCTGCTTTGAGTTAACGATTTTAAATTTAAATGAATTTACACTTAAAATATAAATGAAAAATGTATTTCAGTCTTGAAACAACTGAAAAAGTGGAGTACCTTAAGTCTTAGTTTCTTGAAATATACTGTATATTGATTAGCCCCCTTAAGTTTAACTAGCTCATTATCAGGTATAATAAAGATGGAATCAAATTAAATCAGCATTTGCAGTCACTAAATTACAGCCAGATATTTAAAAGTTTGTAGAGAGGCAAGACACAAGACTCAAGAATGATTCAAGAATGCATATTTATATACTGTATATACTAATTTTTGCAATAACACATAATACAACATCATAAAAAAAGACCCCCTTTTCCATCAGATGCTGCATGGACAGAAAGGCTGTAGGCTTCAACTCCTGAGAGAGATAAAAAAAAGAGAGAGAGAGAGAGGGAGGGAGAATTAAATAAGAAACATTTTCTTTAACATGTTTAACTCTGTAATATATATTTCTGATTTAACACGTATGCACTGTTGGGGTTGTAGAGAGAGAGAACCAAACAGAATAATCATGTTACTGACATCTAACTCCAAACTCCAAATT